AGAACTTATGCATCCCAATGTTCATAGCAGCACAATTTACAATAGCTAGATGCTGGAAGCAACCAAGATGCCCATCAGTAAATGCATGGATCAAAAAATTATGGTACATTTACACAATGGAATTCTATGCAGCAGAAAGAAAGAAGGAGCTCCTACCCTATGCAACAGCGTGGATGGAGCTGGAAAACATTATGCTAAGCGAAACAAGCCAGGCAGTGAAAGACAAATACTATATGATCTCACCTTTAACAGGAACCTAAATAACAAAACAAAGAAACAAACAAAATGTAACCAAAGACACTGGAATAGAGGACAGGCTGAAAGTGACCACAGGGGAGAGTAGAGGGAATTTAAGGGGACAGAGGGAAGGGTTCACAGGAACAACTTAAACTTAAAGGACACATGGTCATAAACTAAGGGGAGGGTGGTAATGGGAGGGAAGTGGGGAGGGGTGGGAGGGGGGAATGGATTGGGAGTTAAAAGGAGAAAAGTGTATTTGAACAATGATTAAAAATAAATAAATTAATTAATTAATCAATCAATTAATTAAATATTTTAAATGCTAAAAAAAAATGGGCAAAGGACTTGAACAGGGACATCTGCAAGGAGGACATACAAAGGGTTCCCAGAGACTTATGAAAAGATGTTCAGCATCTCTAGCCATCAGAGTGATGCAAATTACAATCACAATGAGATATCTCTTCACACAAGTGAGAATGGCCATCACAAAACAAAGCAATAAACAAGAAGTGTTGAAGAGGATGTGGAGAAAAGGGAACCCTAGTGCACTGTTGGTGGGATTGCAGACAGGTGCAACCACTATGAAAAGCAGAATTCAATTTCATCAGAAAACTAAAAATTGAACTGCATTTTGACCCAGCAACTCCATTGCCAGGATTATATCCTAAGAACCCTGAAACACCAATCCAAAAGAACAATATGCCCCAATATTCATAGCAGCACAATAGCCAAGTGCTGGAAGCAGCCTAGGTGCCTATCAGTAAATGAATAGATCAAAAAACCATGGTACATTTACACAATGGAACACTACAGAGCAGAAAGAAAGAAGGAGCTTCTACCCTTTGCACCAGCATGGATGGAACTGGAGAGCATTAAAGCAAGTGAAATAAGCCAGGCAGTAAAAGACAAATACCATATGATCTCACCTATAAGTGCAACCTAATCAACAAAACAAACAAGCAAGCAAAATATAACCAGAGACATCGAAACTAAGAACCAATGGACAGTAACCAGAGGGGAGATGGGAGGGGATAATGGGGGGAAATGTTAAAGGGTTTTTAGGGACAACTGTAAAGGATGCATGGAAAAAACCAAGGGGAGGTAGAAGCAGGGATGGGAGGTGGAGATGGCTGGGTGGGGGTGTTGAAGCAGTGGAAAAAGCAGAAAACTGTACTTGAATAACAATACATTTTTTAAAAATGGAAAAAAAATTAATCTAAAAAAATAAACAAACAAGTAGAATAGAAACAGAATAATAGATACAGGGAAGACTTTGATGGCTGCCAAATAGAGGGGGGGCAGGGTGAAGGGATTAAATACAAATTGGTAGTTACAGAATAGTCATGAGGATGTAAAGTTGAGCATAGGAAATAAGAGTAGCCAAAGAACATATATTCATGACCCATGGACATGGACTACGGTGTGGGGATTTCCTGAGTGGGTGGGGCTTGGTGTAGGGGGACAAAGAGAGAAAAATTGGGACAATTGTATCAATATAATCAATAAAATATAGTTTTAAAAATAACTGAGTCTGATCAAAAAAGGTTTCTCTGAAATAAAATTACACTCAAATTTTCACACAGCTAAATCTAAATAAGTGAGTAATAAGTTTCAGCTACTGGCAGAAAAAAAATTACTAAGTAATTTTCTGAGAGTTACATTACTAAGTTACTATATAATATACACTAATGCCCCAAACAGATACAATCAGAAGCCCTTAATCTAAAAAGAAATATTGTGCTCATAATAAATATGTTGAGGTAAATCAATATGCAGATCTTATACTTAATGTTTTAGCAGCTTTTACAAAAATAATACCTACACAGCTAATAAAATTTCTCATATCTGAAAAGATGAATTTGAGGAAAGAGTAGAAGGGAAGAAGAAGAAAAATCCCTTGCAGCAGCACTAACTATAACATAACTTAGCATAAAGCACACATACAGATGGAGTACCCCACTGCTTCTCAAACTACTGTGGTGGAGGACTAGTCTTTCAAAACTTCCAATCCTGCACAAAGAACCCATCACACTTTCACCAAATACTATCAAAGTAGTTCAACAAGGAGGATGTTAGACTGGGGTGGCTCTAGTGCCTTCCATTACATAGCCTACATCAACAAACAAAACCTAAGCCAGAGTCAATGCACTTGAATCTCAAAAAACAAAACTCAAAAACTATTAATCATAAACAGTCAACCAGATTTTCTTGAACCAGAGAAAATGAAACTCAAGAACGACTATCATAATAGCCAAATTCCTAAGTAAGGTAAATTTTTAAATTATAGCCAAATAAATTTTTGCTTTATATCCATGTCTTCTCTAGGAAAACCTCTGTCCTAACCCCACCTGCAGAGCACCCCTAACCATTTTCAGTTTTGGTGCTGCCCCATTTAAATCATTTGCTCAAATAAACTTTTCAAAATGTAATGTGTCTCTGTTCATCTTTTTACATTACCATGAAAAACATTAGACAATGAAATAAAACAAATACACAAAATACAAGTCCAAATGTTTTAAATTATTATTGGATTTAACAGAGATAAAATTACTGTTAAGTTACTATATAGGTTTCTAAACACTGTGTCTATACTGACCTCCTAGTTAACCACTACTAGGCACCCTGGGTAGTCTAGGGCTAGAGATCAGCCCACTGACACCTCCCTCCAGCTCCTTGCACTGAAGCTCTAGAAGGGACTTCAAATGAAGCTCCAATGTTCAGCAGAACACTGCAAATACAATGCTTGAAACATGGCATCCCGCACACAGCTGGCCACAAATGCACTTTTGATGGGTGAGATAAGCCATCTGCAAATCAATTCTATCAAGATTTCTTTTCCAACAAGTTTTTACTGTAAGTTAAAAATAAATGGCATGTGGATATTATGTATATAGTGAAATAAGTTTCCCATGTCAAATCTAGAAAAAACAAAACATAAAACCAATAGCTAGATAAGTATTTGCTGTATTAATCTATCACTAATTTATCCTTTCAACAAATTTTGTTGGCTCACTAACACCAGTTACTGGATTTATATTAAAAATGGAAACTATATCAAGAAAATGAATATAAATATCATTAAAGATCTTCCCCTTATGGGTCTTCCAAAAGTTTCCCATCACTGAAAACAACATGACTTTCTAGCAATCAACATTAGAATTTGCTTTGTTTATTCAATGTGAGCATGAAATGATAGCCTTGGATTTCATAACTTTAACAAAGGTAAACAAAGTAAATGAACTGAACATCTATTGACTGCCTAAGCTAATATGAATTTCCCCAAATGTGAACATTATGATGCCACAAAACCATTTCAACAAAGTAGGACCACTATTTCATAAAATTTTACTTAGTTGTCCTTTGGCTACAAAAAACTTTATCTCTGTCAAGAAATATACCGATCTGTATTTGATGAATAAATACTTGAACCTGTAGGATTTTTGTTTTCCTCATTAAATAAAATATTTTCTGTGAAGCTAGTTGGAAATCTACCCACTTAAACAAGTAATCTTGGGTCTCTGTGCCTCAGTTTACAATTTTTCACTTTTTGCTCTACACCTTAAGTTGGTACATTGAGATTTAAAAACCCAAGATTATTTATCAAGGTAGCTAGTTCCCCAACTATAAATCCAATATCTTATGGTTACAAATGGCTAAAAATTATAACAAAAAAGGTCAGTGAAAATATGACATTTGGGGGCCAGAGGGGAAAAAAACAAACCTGGAAAACCTCGTTACAGTGCTATATGGTAAAATGCACTTTACATTTAGAAACAGAGACCCAGTTTGGAGTCTAGTTCTATCGCTGCAGAGCTGTGGAGTCCATGAACAAGTTACCTAATTTTTCTAGGCCTCAGTTTTTCTATCTGGCCTCCTTCAGAGGGATGTTGTAGGAAAAATGAGATTGTATATAAAAGTGAATTGGAAATGTAAAGCTATATGCCAAAGGTACCTAGTTAGAAACATAACCATGTTGTGCACCCAGACAACCAACACCAAGTACAATAGATTGCTAACTACCACAATGAGCAATGGCTTTCCATGTTTAGCTTCCACTTTCTGGAAGGCATAAACATTTTAATTTTAGAAGTGCTACAGAGGGAAGAAGTATAGGAAACAGGACTGACTACAAGTGAAAAAGAATTACTGAAGTAAAATGGCTACCTGTTATAAGTCAAGGGGTTACTCGGAATTGAAAGAGCAAAGGCAACCAAAGCTAATAAAAATATTCATGTTCAGCATCCCTCTACTAAGTTAGGAACCACCAATAACAAAGGAACTTGTATGTCAATATAAAAACAATAGAAAAAAACAGGCTACAAAACATTATAAATATGAATATAAAAGAATAGCCTCCAAAAAAACAGTATGGGTGGACAGGCAACAATAGGGAATATGGTTGTGTCATTGTTCTCACTTCTGGTGGAGAAACATTTGATGATCTCATTCCCTCTGAGCAAACAGGGAACATAAGAATAGAACTGTCAGACTGATGACATGAAAGAGAAGCAAGAAAGTAGCTTGAATATACAAGTAGCATAACTGAGATGACTACTGGAAATTGTGCTAAGTTAGAGAAAACTCAGACAAAGGGTTAGGTTTTATAACTTACTGATACTATTAATGACTCTATTACAGTCCTGTCAAAAGTATTTTTAAACATATATATGCTGTCTTACATGCTGTCTTATACATTTAGAATAGATGAGAAAAGTCATCCCACCAGGATTTCTTTATGTACATAAAACTTTAAAACTTACTGGATTCCACCGTCATCTGAAGCAAACTATCAATGACATTGGATAAGAGGCCTTTACTGGATATCCGTAGGTGGTTTAATATTACTGGAACTGCTTGATACTCTAAAAATAAGACTTTTCCTTCATCTGTCTTTAAATCCAAACAAAGAGAATCAAATGCCTGAGCCAGGTAGTCAGCTGAAAAACAATATATAAAATCAACCAGAAACAGGTATAAAGGGAATATCATAACTTTAACATATTCAAAAGTGCAACAAATTTAAATGACCAGAGATTATAAACAATTTAGAGCCTAACTAATTTACTTAGAACTCAAATGGGAAAAGAGGAATCACATTATGATATGGTAAATTTTATTCAAAATTTTTGTATTTTAACATTGAAATAATAATATACCCCATTTCTATTTATATTAAGAAAACAATTGATGTTTAATAGTAAATACCAAGTAATATCTATTTTCCACATTTGATTATAACTATCACATGCTTCCAAAAATTTAAACAGCATTAGTATTTCTTTCACAACAGCTTCTGAGATTATAATTTTGGCGGTTGCCGCTTTCTAAGTGTTTACCTATTTCAAAATGTAACTTTATTAAAAATTGCTTGAATAAGTCTTAAACTAGGATTTCTGTCTCCTAATAAAACACTAGCATTTAAAAACCATCTTCAGAAGAGTGGATGTGCACCGGTGTGTTAACTTTTTGTGATACATTTGCCATTACAAATGGCAGCAGGATTTTACCAAGGCCAATGCTATAATGGCACATGCCATATCAGAATCCCTGGAACTTTCTTAAAAATGTTCAACATATGTTTGGGAAGCTTATAAAGCCAGGGTTAAGAAGCAGTGATTTAACCAGAATCAATGAGAATGAGATATTAAGATATTTATCTCACACCAAACAACCTAAGTCACTACTTTTACAATGATTTTACATTGTGCTTTTAACTGTACAGAATATTTTAGTTTTCGAAAACTCATTTCAGCATACTATTCAAAGGAATACAAAATTGTTCATGCTATTCAAATACTAGCAAATTTATTTTCTACTGAGATTTCTGCTTAAAGGAGACTCAAAAGTGCCCTTGAAAATATGATACATCACCCCATTAAAATTTACTGTCTTCTGATCTCATGTTGCATTTATCCTTTGCTGTTTCAGCTTACATAAAGTAATAATTAAGAAACCCAATTATTAAGAATGATTATTTGAGAGTAACCTATGTGAAATTAAAGTCTGGATGGTGTGGTTCAGTGGATTGAGGGCCGAACTGCAAACCAAAGGGTCACTGGTTTGATTCCCAGTCAAGGCACATTCTTGGGTTGCAGGCCAGGTCCCCAGCAGGGGGCACATAAGAGGCAACCACACATTGTTTCTCTCCATCTCTTTTTCCCTCCCTCCCCCTCTCTCTAAAAAATAAAATAAAATCTTTTTTAAAAAATGGATTTTGAGAAATTAAGATCTATGCCTGTGGATCACTACATTTTTGCTTTTGATAGAACTTAGTTCAAGGAACACTAACATTGTACTTAACTTTTGTAACTCAATAAAATACAACACTGCAAGTAAGTGAATATTTAGGTTAAGCAAATTTTCTAGATTCCATTTAGACTTAACTTATTTAAAAACCCATCTTTATTCAGCAACAACTCAGGTAGAGGAATATAGATGAAACCCAAATTCAATTCTTCACAGAAACAAAAGTTTTTATCACAAATTATTTGACACAAATTACTTCACTTCTTATTAATACACCATCTGAGATTAAATAAGCTGAAAACTATATGACATAGCAAGCTTGCAAACTTAAAAAATTGTCCTTTATTAAGGAAAGAATAAACAAATGGAATCTCATCAAAATAAAAAGCTTCTGCATAGCTAAAGAAAACAGTATTAAAATGAAAAGAAAACCAACCACATGGGAAAATGTATTTGCCAATGATACCTCAGACAAGGGTTTGATCTACAAAATACATAAAGAACTCACACAACTCCATTCCAGGAAAACAATCCAATTACAAAATGCACAAGGGCTTGAACAGACACTTCTCCAAGAAGGACACACAGAGGGCCCAGAGACATATGAAAAGATGCTCTGCATCACTAGCCATCAGAGAGATGAAAATTAAAACCACAATGAGATACCACTTCACACCAGTGAGAATGGCCATTATAAACAAATCAACAAACAACAAGTGCTGGTAAGGATGTGGGGAAAAGAGAACCGTAGTGCACTGTTGGTGGGAATGCAGATTGGTGCAGCCGCTATGGAAAACAGTATGGAACTTCCTCAGAAAACTAAAAATGGAACTGCCTTTTAACCCAGCAATACCACTGTTGGGATTACACCCTAAGGATCCTGAAACTCCAATTCAAATGAAGTAATGCAACCTAATGTTTATAGCAGCACAATTTACAATAGCCAAGTGCTAGAAGCAACCTAAGTGCCCATCAGTAAAAGAGTGGATCAAAAAACTACATTTACACAATGGAATACTAAACAGCAAAAAGAAAAAAGGAGCTCCTACCTTTTGTGACAACATTGATGGAACTGGAAAGCATTATGCTAAGTGAAATAAGCCAGGTGGTGAAAGAGAAATACCATATGATCTCACCTATAAGTGGAACCTAATCATCAAAACAAGCAAATAAAATACAACAAGAAACATTTAAATAAAGAACAAACTGATAGTTACCAGAGAGGAGTGGGGAAGAGGGATAACAGCAGAAGGGCCATCAAGGAACATATATAAAGGACATATGGACAAAGCCAAAAAGTGCAGGTTCAAGGGTGGGAGGCAGGGATGGGTAGATTGGGGTGTGTGGGGAGGGGGTAAGGGGTAAAAAATAGAGAAAACTGTACTTGAGCAACAATAAAAAAGTTTGTCCTTTATTAATTTGAGGGGGAAGAAAAATGGTATTTATTTCTGTTTTTTAATCCCCAACTGAGGATCTATTTATTGATGAGGGAGAGATTGAATGAGTGACAGAGTAAGAGAGAGAAGGACATTGATCTGCTGCTTCCCCTACCTGTTTCAACCAGGGATTGAACCCACAACCTTTTGGAATAAGGGATGATGATCCAACCAACTGAGCCACCTGGCCAGATGGGTATTTGATTATATTTAAAGTGGCTTTATCAGGAAGAATAAAAAATATATCCTTATTTTAATTTCCCAATAGTGAAGATTTTCTAAAAACCAGACAAATTTAATATCTGAGTATTTTTTAAAGTTTTATTTACCTATTGTACCAAAACTGATTTCTTTTTATGAATATGGTATATTACTAAGTCTTAAAAAATGTCCTGACATTTAACTATAACTTTTTTGTTCCTTACCAAAAGTCAATCAGCTGATCTTAATCAGCATGAAAGTGTTTTATGTTGCTTAGTTTATACTGCAGACTGAAAAATTAGAAACACTTTGCAACAACTTTCATCAAAAAGTAAATTCTACTGCCCATCCTTTGAATTTGGGCTAACCCTGTGATTTTAACTATTAGAACACAGCAGAAATGACATGTGGGTGTTAGAAGCCTGAGCCTGAACTTGAAGAGGCCAAGCCTCTTCCAGTCACCAGCAGGGTGGCATGTAAACAGCTCCAGAAAGCCCACTTGAGATTGAAACCGAATGGAGACCCCAAATATGAGCAAGCCCAACAAAGAATAGGGGAGTCCAACAAAGCCCAGGCACCCAGCTGAGCTGAGCCCAAGTTACCCAGGCAAAGAGTGGTGAGCTAGTAAATATTATGGTTATTGTTTTAAGCAGTTAAGTGTTTGGTGGTTTACTATGCAGCCACAGAAATCTAATGCAATTTAACAGGCCTCAATTCTAATCTCAAGTAAAACTAGTCTAAGAAATTAATGATGATGTTTATATTAGTCAATATATTAGTACTTTACTCTATGCCAAACCCTTGACTAAATCTTCACATTCTCATTTATACTTTAAAAAATTGTGTAAAAATGGAAAGGGACTTGTCCAATGCCACATACCTAGTGATGGGGCTGGCATTCAAACCTAAACTGGCTGGCTCCAAAGTGGAAGTTCTTAGTTACACTGCACTGCTATCTTACCAAGTCAAACTTTCCTGTTATTCAAAAATGGCAGTAATTCCTTACATTTCTCTAGCCCTGAAGAATAAGTATATAATTTGTAAATATATAAATATGCACAAATTTAAGGCCAAATATTGAGTAGTGCAGGACAGAACTAGCCCAGATGCACACATTTTATTTTTAAATTTTTATTGTCCCCTATTTTCCCCTTGGCACTCCTCCACACAGCCCAACCCCCACTCCCACAGTCAATCCCCACACAATTGTCCATGTCTATGAGTCATTTATACAGCTTCTTTGATTATTCCCTTCCCCTTCTTTCCACCATTATTCCCCTTTCCTGTACCATCTGATCACTGTCAGTCTGTTCCACGTTTCCATGTCTCTGTTTCTATTTGCTCATTAATTTATTTTTGTTCATTAGGTTTCTCTTATTGGTGAGATCAAATGGTACATCTTTCACTGACTGGCTTATTTTACTTATCCACTTCCATCCATGCTATCATGAGAGGTAAGAGTTCCTTCTTTCCTTCTGCTGCATAGTATTCCATTGTGTAAATGCACGTACTTTTTTGATTCAGTCATTTACTGCTGGGCATTTATGCTGTTTCCAGCACTTGGCTATTGTAAATAGCGTGCTATGAACATAGAAGTGCGTAAGTTCTTCAGAATTGGTGTTTTGGGATTCTTAGGGTATATTCCAAGCAGTGGAATAAGTGGGCCAAAAGGCAGTCCCATTTTCAGTTTTCTGAGGAAATTCCATACTGTTTTCTACAATGGCTGTACCCATCTGCATTCCCACCAGCAGTGTACTAGGGTTCTCTTTTCCCTGCATCCTTGCCAGCACTTGTTTGTTGATTTGTTTATGATGGCCATTCTGACCAATGTGAGGCAATATCTCATTGTGGTTTTAATATGCATCTCTAGTGGCTAGCAATGTTGAGCATCTTTACATATGTCTATGGGCCATGTGTATGTCTTCCTTAGAGAAGTGCCTATTTAGGTTCTTTGACCATTTTTTAAATTGGATCGTTTGTGTTCCTGAAGTGGAGTAGTGTGAGTTCTTTATATATTTTGGAGATTAAAACCTTGTCCAATGTATTATTGGCAA